TCAATATTGGAGACACACACACAGCAGCTGACGTGGGTCTTAGCTGACTCAATCCAAACTTTACCAAACAGGTAGATTGTCCCTGGACAAAAAATTAGCAAACGAATGAATGAATGAATGGATGAATGAATGAATAGGAGGATAAAACAGAAAGAATATGGGTAGCAGGCATAGAATTATTATTGTAAGGATAAATGAGTTGTAACATGATTTTTTGACATATCTTTCCATTAATACTCCCTCACATTTCTTTTGAAAATTTAAGAGCCTTTATACCTTTTTCTAAACATATAAACACTAATTCATTTCTGAAAGCAGTATGAACATATTAAATATACATATACCAATATGAACATAATATGAAAAAAAATAAATCCACACATTTTCCTGATCTACAAAATCTGGTGAGCAGAAAATTAAAAAATATGTCACCCTACCTGATTTACTCCTTTCCTCATACGCATCCAACCAGTACATGCGCAGCACCTGGTCTCCATTTTCATTGGTTATCAGGGGCAGGCTTGACGAGTCTACTGTAACATCTGTCATGGCGGTTCCTCCGTCTGCCCCATCTTGCATCGTATCCCAGCTAGAAGCTAAGAACTCTGCAGATCTAAGATAGAAAATAGTCGAAGATTGTTTTAACATAGCAAATTTTAAGGTGCTTTAATTTATGGAATATCCACGATTAACAAACCATAAATAGAGAAATATGTAATTTTTTTTAATTTCTGTTTAAAATTATCTTAAAAATGGTTGTTAAAAATCTGACAAATTACCTAATCATGACAAACATCCATCCCCCCCCCCCCCCCCCCCCAATCATCCCACACATCCCCCTTTCCTCTAAAACTATAAAAAACCAATAAAAAAGGGGGTTGGGGCTATAGAAAATCTTTCAGCAATATGGAAGACCTACATCACTGGTTTGGAGTCCTCAACCTCCTGCTTCACTTTGGGTTTCTGTTCCTCAGTCTCGCCAAAGTTGTCATCGAAGTCGATGTCCCCCACCTCCATCTCCGACTCATGATGGCCATTTTCTGCAATAGAAATTAAAACTAAAATGCAACTCCCTCCCATGTCACCTACACCTCCATCTCCGACTCATGATAGCCATTTTCTGCAATAGAAATTAAACTAAAATGCAACTCCCTCCCATGTCACCTACACCTCCATCTCCGACTCATGATGGCCATTTTCTGCAATAGAAATTAAAACTAAAATGCAACTCCCTCCCATGCCGCCTACAAAAATAATTTGCATTTATACAGGTGGAAGTTGTACCATTCAGCTGAACAGAATTTTTTCATAAATTACCAAACTTATTACTTAGAATTTGAATAACAAATATATGGGTAAGTGTTTGCCGGTGTTACCAATAAACTACAGGAAGCAACATTTAAATCCCTGACATACCTTTTGGTTCAACTTTAACTTTAATATTTTCTTGACCATCATCATCATCGTCTCTATAATCCATAGGACAACTATCATATTCCTCAATTTCAGGGCTCTCCTCCACTTCCTGCTTAATCTCCTGTTTTATTTTCTTGACCACCGGCCTTGGAGCTGACCTCTGAGAGGCCAGTGGGCTGGGGTAGGGCTTGGCAGGCTGAGCTGGGCTCACGCGGGACTTGACTTTAGTATTAAAAGGATTGTATGGTGATCTGAAAAGTGGAAAAATAAGCTGTGATATCTAGAAAAGCACTCAGACACGGCATACCCCTTCCAAGGCAGCTCAGTTGATTTATTACTGCATGACCACCAAATTCTAAAAATATTTAATTACCAGAAAATCTAAAACTTTTTGAATTAGGCTGTTAACTAACAAATTAACAAAAGTCAAAACATAATCTTCTTGTCAAAGGTTAATATCAGGATAGCTGTCTTTTCACCAAATGAATAACTGCTCACAACAATTCTTTCTTAAATTAACCTTTTCTGGGGTTAAAAAAGTCCACATCTTCTTTAAAATCAGACACATTTTACAATGATGACATGAAAAACAATCAAATTAAGTCACATTTAGCAATATCGTAAAAACTCTTTAATATATACATTACATTTGCTATAGCCAGTTCATCTCCTTTCATTTCCAGCTCCAACAATTTACTCACCAAATTTTTCATCTAAGTAAAAAAAAGTGCATGGTGTATTCAGCCCCAGCTACTCAATAAGTTGAAAATTCTAATTTTGACAAACAGAAATAAATCGTCAATGTACTTACTTGGCAGGTCCATTTTGTTTCTTGACCATCTTAGCTGGAGGTGGCTTGAAGGCTGGAGCAGAGGAGTTCTGGTTCAATTCATTCATGATATCTCCCAGAATATCATCATTATCTAGACTCACCTCCTTCTGGAAAAAAGGAAGAAGAAAATTGATGGAAGAAATGAAAATGAAAAAATCTTGATCGTCTGCTTTTGTTAAGACAATGGATTGAAAATAAAATTTAAAGTAAAATTTTTAGGGGAAGCAAAAATTAGAAATAATCGAGTTTCGGCAGACAAACTGCTTTAACTTTAAAATATGAAGTAAGCAAAAAAGAGCTGAAAGGTCAATGTTAATTTTTACTGTACCATTTAAAATAAAATTATACACAAACTGTGTTGAGTTGTGTTGTTTGCCCAATCACAGTGTGAAACATGCTATACTAGTAAGCATTATCTATCCATACCGCAGGTTTCTTCTTCAAGCCAGTGTGTGCCTGGAACATGGATTTTATTGTAGCCTTGGGTTTGCTCCCTGGCTTCATGATGTTGGGGTTCTTACTCTTCCTGGACTGTTCCACTGTCTTTTTAGCTGAAGATGAAGGCAAAACGGCGTGAATGTCTTGTCAATATTATATGTAAAAAATTTGCATACAATAATGCAGAAAGATCAGCAATGGTATAACATAATTCTATATTACACGAATCTCTCAAAGATTTTTTTATTCATGTGCACCATTTTTTTCTTTTTTCTTTTGTTTGTTTGGATGGAGATGGGTAAAGGGACATTGTGTCTGAAGAAAATATGTTCATTTCATTTTTGACTGGCAAAAAGTGACTTCAAATACAATTTTTGTGAATGAAAGATGGCCAAGTACTGCAATTCTCAAAATCACTCTCACCTTTACTGGTGTATGCATTGTCCTCATCCAGTTCATCATCAAATATCTCTCTGCCATCTTCCACATACCCACTGCCATCTAGGGAGAAAAAAATTGAGTGGAGAAAATGGGGATATAAAAAATTATTGAATTGATACCCATTTTATCCATAATCATATTTATAGAATACGAGAACTGGAATTGTATATTTTTTATCTTTCCAAAGGTGCCCCAAATCTGGTGTAATATATTCTGCATTTCAAAAGTATGCCTGGATAGAAACTTCACCTTTACTTGTTAAAAATACTGAAATGATAAATAAATACATATTTAATTTTCCAAATATATTCCTAAAATTTACCATCATCCACAATCCAGTCATCTTCCTGCCTCTCTCTTACAATTTTGGAATATTCTGTTTCATCAACTTCCTCATAGACAGCTGCTTCTTCGGTGAACTACACAAATAAATAAGTATTAATGATGGCCATGAACTGTATCCATAAATCAAGGCTGAATAATACATTTATCATTTATATTTCAAGATATCAAACACAACCAAAATTAATTGAGAAATTACAGAATTAAGAGCAAAATACAGACAAGGTAGAAGTATCATAAAGCCAATTATACACATTGACCCATGTGTAAAGTTGTCAATGGACACAATTAATTGATATCAAAATTAAGACCTGATAATTATACCTTCATTAACATTTTTTAATCTTTATTAAGTGCAGCAGTAGAACTTGCTTACCAAATGTTGAGAGAAGTCTGGGGAAAAAAGACATTTAAGGCACAAAGATACACAGTAAAACTGTTGATAAAAGTGATAGATGTTAATCATCATACCTCATATTTGTGTTTCTCCCCGCTCTCTTTGGCCTTCTTCAACTTTTCCAAAGCTGCAAACCTCCCGGTTTTGTCTTGCTTAGTTCGGCGAGATCTGCCCCTGGCCAGGGAATCTTTAAACAATACGACAGGAGACAATTAAATGTTAAAGACTATCATAAGTGTATGACTCTGTGATAAGATCGCTGCCTCACTGGAGTGGTACAGTGTACACAATTATTTTTGTTTAATTATCTGTATACGCTATCTTGTTTTTATCTTAGAGTTAGAATTCGACCAACCTAATTGATGCCAATCTTATTGGCATCTTTTCTCTAGAAGACTAAAACTAATCTGCAATGTCCTACTTATCTTGCTGTCGTGATCAGTGTCGGTGTCGGCAGTCCCGCCGGCAAAGTAACACAATGACTGAAATTTTCCGTAGATTTCTTCCTTTTTAAATACTGCGATCGTTCGCTTATGACGAAGTCAACACATCAAAAGTTTACTAGAGGTATCACGATAACATGTACATGTCACCAGTGAAAGAAAACATAAATATGAATCGAAATAACATAGATACAAACCTTCAACAATCGGCTCATCCTCTTGTGCGGGACCTGGCGCCATTTTCGCGATTTCAGAAACGGCGCGAAACAATGCAGAGCTAGGACATAATTTATCCATTTGTTTCGATGATAGATATTTCATTAAATCCAGGAAACATGAAATAATGACACAAAATAAACATAGGAACTTGTTAACAGTTCTTTTTATTCATTGCATTTGTTATATTGGAACCACAAAAATTCTACATTGAGATTAAACTTAAGTGGCGAAACCAGAGATAAACAAATGGCCTCAGCATAAATCTGATGACGTATCAGGTAAACACGAAGTAGGGAAATCCATAAGAGGGTAACTTGACACGTTTCTCAATATATCAAGGGAATTTTATACCCATGCTTTAAGCCGGAACTAGATTTAAATCGGTAAGTGTATATCTTTTTAGCTTAAAGTATATTTGCAGATAATGAAAAGGAAAGAGCATAAAAACTGAGCGGCCAAATGATGTTTAGCTTCAGATTTTTCTTTCTACTGTGACTGTAACGTCTTCCTCCAATTTTGTGAATCAGCTGATTTGTATCACGCCATATTTCGTCATTTTCAATAGTTTGCACTGCCGGCGACGAAGACGAAATATTTTGGCTGTAAATCCAACTCTATTACGCATAACTGTAAGTGTGATTTTTAAATTCCACACGTGTATACATACTGAAAATGTTTGATTATTTTGAAGACCTTTGCACTTGCGTGTTTTACACGCATGTAGTAGTAAACAGATAACCGAAATACTCATAAACAATCTGGGACACTCGCTATCAATAATCAAATATGTATTAAAGCTAGCTAAGTAGATTTAAGGGGAGTAGTTTATCAGCAGTCTTGTTTTGCAGCTTAAATCTGCACAAAGCATGGAAGAGGTCTAAAGGTCAACAGTGACCGAATAATAACCTTTGGTCTCCTCTCCCCCCAAAATAGGGGCACCTGGTTGATGTATTACTTCTTGATTGGCTTTAGATATACAAATTCTGAAGTCCAGAGTCCTTCTACCAGGGGTTGTGTATATATATGTTTAGAATGATACATGTCCACATGTAGTTTTCACATACAATTTATAAGCATTTAATCTACTAGTGAGGGGTTTCATTAGAATTTTTATAACTAATTCAATTTTGCTGGTGGAGTTTCATAACAGATGTCCAGCATGGTAGGTAAAGTATTTACTGCTCACGTATTGTTCATTTTATCTGTTTGCTTTACTAAGATATTGTTTTGGATGATGTTTAGAAAAAAAAATTGACTAGCTAGTGCCCTTATTGTCTGAAATAAGAAGTGAATTAAATTTAAAACTTGTCTGGAAACAGCTAGCAGTATTTGGATTTTGACAGAGCCTGCCTTTCTGAGGACTCCTCAGAATTTTTTTTGGGAAATAGTATGTGTTTGAATACTGATTGTAATTATATTTCCATGTACTGTACTGCTGCATTGAAAACCATACTTCATTTGAATAGGAACTTTAGTGTTAAGTTTCTAACAAAGGTCGAATCTAAGCTATATTTACATAAAATGAGGCTAAGTTACCATGTGAACATTTATGTGTTAAAGATTAAATTTAATCTTGCCAATAGTGTACAGTAATTACAGTTGCAGATTCTTATTTACCTTTGTGTGCAATTTTATTTGCTCTTTTTACATGTCATGGAAAACGTTGCAGTGTTTCAGTTTTTAAAGATAATAACCACGTATTGCCTGTTTATGTATTATTTTAAGGTGAGAAAGAGAAAGGCTGCGATGGCAGGCAGAAAGCGCTCTCACGAACCAGACACTCCAGAAGAGGAACAAGCTAATGGGTCCTCCAATCTCAAAAGAAAGGTCAGTACCAGTATATAATGCAATTTAGTTCTTTTTGATACTCATAATATGCATGCTTTAATCAATACTCATGTAGTAAGGCATCATAGGCATTTTTCTTTGTGGCATTTGCACGTTACATGATCAAATTATAGTATTGTAGATGAACCCATGATCTTTTATTTTCTTCTCAGTTTTTAAAAAGAGACTGGTCCATGGTTTGAAAGTGCTGGGGAGGCATACCTCAGTTCTTTGCTTAAACAGTATCACTCTGGCTCCGCTGGTATTTCATTCAACTGTCTTTATTACTACACGTTTATTTACAGATAATTTTATCAAAAGTAGGATTAAGTTTGAATGAGTCTTAAAGGTCCTTAATTGTACAAAAGACAGTTTTGAATTTTAGATGGTAATAAGGTCTAGGAGCAGTGAGAGAAACCATAGGCATTTTTGCTTAATAACTTCTAGTAGCCTTTGTATATATATATATATGTACATGGACAAATAGATAAATCACATATCAGTTACCCCAGAACAATGTTTAATTAAGTTGGTTAAATTTATCGAAGATTCCAACAACTAAGGTGAATTATTTTAAGCATTTGATAAAAGAAAAGGAAAAGAAGGAAACTGACTAAGACGAATTACTTTTAGCATTTGATTAAAGAAAAGAAAAAGAAGAAAAGACATACAGTATACAATGTGGTTATATATTTTTTGTAATGCTATATAGCACTCCAGCTGCATGTTCATTATTATAAATTCCAACCTTGTAAAACATAATATATGTATGTAAACAAAGTTCAAAGTCCCCAGAGATACAAAGATAAAAGAAGAAGGGGAAATATGTCAGGCTAACAATTAAATATCATTTGTACATTTAAATAGCTTGCCTTCATTGATCAATAATACAGGAAAATGCTCATGAATTGCATCAAATTTCAAGATTTGTGTCTATGGCAAAGACATGTATACATGCCATATTAAAATTTATGATAATTTTTTAGGGCAGGTTTTCCCAGGTGCCCCTTGATTGCACCTGTTTGTACATGTAGGTCAAATTGGTCTACATATAATGACTAATATCTAGGTCATTGATCAGATACAGACTGTTTATTAATGTGCTGAACCGGGTCAGTAGTATTGCCTGGCCAAACAGTATCTGCACTTGTGAATTTCAGGATTTTTGGGAGGTTTTTGCTTGACCAATTTGTTTTTGTTAAGTGTCCTATGATCTCTCTTTTAGAATTGCAAATTGTTTACAAATTTTTTGCAATGAACAATTTTCCAGGACTGATTTGTACTAGTAAATAGTAGGGTACGTCTTTCTTCTGGCCTTATGTGCCAGGCAAAAGGAAAATTAATAATGAAAATAAAAATATTTTACAAAAAGAAAAAAAAAGCTTTTCATGCTTTCAATTTGGAACGATTCTTTCTTGACCTGGCTATAACAGTGCACACTGAGGGGGGAATTATGTGTTGTGTAGGGTGGGGTTATTGAATGTGTGTGTGTTGGGGGGGGGGGGGGGGAATGGGCTTTAGGTGACAATATATATCAGTTTCTCAGTTTGTCAGTTTCTCAAACAGAAAAGATTTGGCACTCTGAACTTCAGCGTTGTTGATTGAGGCTGATTTGAAAAAAATGACCCGCTGTGGGACTTATATAGCAGCTTTAATTCCTAGTCTCTATGATGTCTATAAGCACAGAGAGTCAAATACAGTAAATACAACATCAGGAAAATTGGTCTTTAGATGCTGTGCTTCTGACATATTGCAGTGAAGAGGCACGGAAATGACAGTGGTATTCCTGTATGGCTACTTGAATGTGGAAATAAGCAGTAATTGATGTGTGCAATTATTGGAAAACGCAGACATGTTCATTTGATTCAAAATTAGCCAGCTGTGCTAGTGGAATGGATTCTTGAAGGTTGATACGCATTGTTCAGGGCTCTCTTAGCGTCTGTTCAAATGATAGTGTATCTGGACGATCGTAACGATTGGCAGTGCATGGGTAATGTTACGGCCTTTGCATGTCTTGCTGAAAGCTCTGCGCTGATATGAACAATACTTGGAACACATAATATTGTCAGAGGGTAGAAGAAACAGAAGTATGTATTGTTGGTCCATAATTTAAAGAGCTGGGATAGTGTTTCTGATATGATGGCATTTAGAAGACAGTGAACATTTTCAGTGCTGTACAAAACTGTTGGATAACCACAGAGAAGAAAGAAGATAGAGATTGACAGGTTTTCCATTATGTGGAGGTAGGATCTGACACCCATATAGAATATGACACTGCTTTTCGTAGCTTCTTGATCTGGGGCTCGGGGCTCCAGGGATTGGGCAAGTCAAACTCTTGTCAGGCAAAGCAGTTATAGTCAACGTCAACCTTCATGCATTAAAGAACTATGAGGATAACTCAAAGTCGTCATGGTAATATAGTTATGGTAATCATCCTTTGGCGTTTGTGAGCCTAGAAAAATATATTCAGATAATCTGTATATATATTGGGAGAACACCCTTGACTTAAGAGGCAAATGTGGGGTACCATGGAATTGAAACAATTTTTTGAATATTTTAGCAAGTGAGATCCATGATTTACTCCCACTCACAGTGTATATACTCTGGGAGTTAATATGATTGTATACAGAAATTATGGTATACTATTGACAGAAAGCTCTTGACAGAAATCTCAGAGGATTTCTACACAGAAGCTCTTCGGTGGATGTGGAGTTGATGTGTTATGAATATTATATTAGGAGTAGTGAATATACCGTAGGCCTTTAAGTGAGCGATATAACTGACGGATCAACGGAATCAGGAATACTCCAGGGATATTAGCTCTGATGCCTACTTGTACATTTTTCATAATTTGAGAGAATTTGGCTAAATATGTTGTTCAAAGGATTTTCTGGAGAAAAATGAAAGTGCATTGAGGAAGTTTATATATAGTTGTTTTATTTATAAAATGAGAAACATCTAACAAAGAGAGTGATTAAGGGTGAAATACAACAGTTTGACTTAAGACTGGTTAACTGAAGGACCCATACAACTGATCTTTTTCTAAAGTGCACCTCACTTATGATGGCATCACAGAAGTACATGTGTAGCCGCAAACTGCATGNACTAGTAATGTTAGACGCCAGGTCAAAAAATAAGAAATAAAACAAATTCCAGCTTTTTATGCTTTACAAAATAAACGGATATATATCTAAAAAATAATATTCAGTAACAATACCTGAAAAAAATCCATTGTGAAAGATCAGTTGGATCCATTGAAGAAAGTGTGATTTTGTCAATAACTAAAAACGATCAATTTTTGCAACAAACCTGATAAGAAAAGTGTTTGCAGTTCATGAGTAAAAGCCATAGTGTTATCTTCGATCATCTTCCCCAAGTGACGATGTTCATTCTTGCACAGATTTCAGCTTACTTGGAATCTGAGAGATGCAAGTTGCAGTATTGAAAGATTAGAGACAGTGATCTAAACAATAATGGCAAAATATGGACTTCCTATTTCTGGGTGACAGAGGGCAATGCTTTCAGCATTTCAGCTGGTCTTAAAGGCCATGAGAAAAAAAAATGCTGACTAAAAGGAGTTCTATATTCAGAGGAAATAATCTGGGATGCCGAACTATGAATCACCTGCATAAAAGAGAGATGTTCAATCTTGCGTGTACCTTTCAGCAACCGTCTGGCCAAGCCATATCTCTGCATTATGAGGGAAATTACATTATAACATTATCAAAGCAACCAGTTCAAATCACTGAAGATGGATTGTGAAAGCAAAAAAAGGTTTGATTCAGTATATTCGAACATCTTTTTCTGAAAAGTCTGAGGAAACAAATCAGTTCATTTCGTGATTTTGGGCAATTAAAACATCAAGAAAAAGCATAATAGTGAATATTCAAGGATATGGATTTAAAAACTTTGACAGACACAATGAGGTGTTTGGAACTGTCAAAATCTTCACACACAACACTGGATCATTTCAGACAGTAAATTCTGTAAAATTCTTTTCAAAATGATGTATAATAGGAGGGACTATGACAGAGATGGAAACCTCTGGGAAATACTGGCACCACTATGGTCATTCATAGGCAGAGATAATAAAGGACAAAGGAAACGAAGACCATTGGAAGGTCAGTGACAACAGCTCTGTGAAGCATACCTAACTCCTCACAACTTTTGAACAAAGTTTATTAATGATGCATGGGAAAGACAAGTATTGGTAACTGCAACATATTATAATGGCTACAGATCCCAAACCAATTTTTTTACTTGTCAAGAAAAAAATAAATCTCATAGACAAGATGGGATCAGGTTCAGGAACTAAGGCTTTGTGAGTAAATCATTAAGATGAGATTACACCACTTAAGGGGCGGATCCAGAGATTTTTCTGACAGTCTTCCAAATTATCTTTGTTGATCCATCCTCCATTTTTGACCGTCTTCCGACAAAAAATATTAGATACCTGACAATGTAAACTTGAAAATATGACCGCCTTCCGGAAGACCCAGAAGACGGCCTAAATCCGCCCCTGCCACTGACATGTTTGGTATCTATGAGTAGTTATAATTTAATGTGACATAAAGACAGGTATTTTACCTGGTCCTCAGTACTTTACAACACATCATGCAACGCCCCCTACAAGATATTAGCTCCTTAGGTAAGTGTTTTATCCCTCAGTGTACTGAACTGATCTCTTGACAGCTTTCACCCTCATTAATTGATCTTGATCACAGTGATAATTACAGTAATAATCATCAAATTCCTTCCTGGCACATTCCTTTAAACTCTGAACATAACCACCAGATGGAGACACAATCATATGCGTGATGCTGCAAAACCATCCAATTAAAGGAAAGGCCATAAAAAAAGGTATAGAGTACATCTCCTGTGAGTCTCCGTTTCATGTGCCGTGGTAATTTTTTACTGATATGGGAGATAATATTTCAATATGCCTCTTTCTGAAATCACTGTCCTTGACCTTACCTTGACCTTTTCTTGGCCTCAGTTTAAACCCAATATGAATCTGACCTGTGGTAGCTGCCTGGCTGATCTGGTATCTCATTATATAAATAGTTAAATATTAGACTTATAAAAGTTAACAGCTTGACTGGGCTAGTGATACTTTCAGCAACTGTTTCATACTATATTAACCCAACATCTATAGATTCCAACGTCCCCAATGGCCATCATTTAGATCAACTAGCAGTAAATGTTTAATAGAGACACAGTCGATGGATACTTACACACAAAAACTCTGCATCTACAACATCAGGTAGATCAAAAGTCTACTTTCTCTCCGTGCACATGCACAAAATCTCTAGCTCGTCTCCAACTTATTGCCCCCGCTTTATCTTCCAGTCCAACTCCTCCACCATGTTAGCTAGGTCTGAAAGAAGAAATAAACTATACAGTGGATTGATCTGACAATCTGTTATATCCCATTACAGCTCACATCCACAAATAATTCAAATGAAAATGTGAGCATTTCATTTTCAGCCATAAATAATAAAAATCAATGTCATAACGATGTCTGCACAATCTGCTTGATTTTCTGTGGACATATAATTAAGGGGACAATATATGTACAGTATATTGTTTTTGTAATCATAATATGCAATCATTTCACGAAGTAGCCAGTGCTTTTGTTTCAAAGAATTGTTCCTATACCTACTGGCTGGGTTACCTACAGCACTGCAACCCTTGCTTAGTACATGCTACTGTAACTGTTAAATTGTGTTAAGACAATATGTTGTTAATTTATAATAAAAATGTCATAAAATAAATTCCCAAGATTTGTCCTTTCTATAAGTAAGTTCTCTTATTTGTTAAAACAATATAGATGGTAGGTGATGGCATGATGCAAATTTTTAAAAAAATTTTTCTCCATTTTCAGTACTCAGCTCTGTTTCTTTCAACCCATCCATTCAACCCATTCAATCCATAACATAATTGCAACCTACTTTTTCCCAATAAAACATTTGTAATTTAATCAGCTCTTCCCAAATCAATTCACAGTGCATGTTCACAAATGATGATATTGGGTCGCAACTGGAGAGAGAGAGAGAGAGAGAGAGAGAGAGCGGGAGAGAGAGAGAGACTTGACATCTGAGAGCAAATAAAACACTGATAAATTTGTAATAAAAGTACCACTGACAGGACTATATAAAGATTTTCTCAATTTACCATATCAAGAAGTGTGAAATCAAAGCAGACATGCTGAAACTGTCAGTCCGATCGGTCATGACTGGGAAAATTTGTCTGGACCGGTAAAAAAATGGACTTGGTCAGTCCAAAGGAACGACAAGAGTTTTAAGAACCGCAACTTTAAATTTACAGTCATCCTTCAACATACTTCACTAAAAAAATTATATAAAACCCAAAGCGTTTTTTCCCTTCCACTTCAAACCTATCATATTCACAAACAAAGTAAGCTACCCTAATCGTACTGGTAGAATCTGTCTCAAATGAATAGGGTGATTTTCGGTCCAACAAAAGTCCATTCGGTCTGGCAAATTTTTCATTACTGCCGGTCCAAATGTCGGGCCATTCTGAAAAGTTTTCAGCATGTCTGATCAAAGTCTCCAATTCACAGCTGAAACTAGGTACATGGGATATATATATATATATATATATAGTCCCTTTGCAGGTTTTCAGGAATAAGATTGCCATTTAGTGAAACAGTCGGAAAACATGGCATGGGGTCCAGGGGGGGGGGGGGCTACCCAGCCCAATGCCAATGGTATTTTTATCTCCCAAAATATAAAAAATTTGCCAACAGTCTGAAAATTCTCCACCCTATGCTGATGTAATGTCATATAATTGAAATATTTTTCACCCTAGCTGAAAACCCCAGCATTTAAATATATCAAAGGCCTAACAGTACATCTTTGTCATATCTCCCTATATACAGATAAACCCACTGAGTCTCTTGTGTGTGTATCCATGGCAATGTCAGTATCTTGTGTGTGTACCCATGGCAATGTCAGTCTCTTGTGTGTGTATCCATGGCAATGTCAGTCTCTTGTGTCTGTATCCATGGGAATGTCAGTTTCTTGTGCCTGTATCCATGGAAATGTCAGTCTCTGGGGCTGGTCTAAACATCCTAATTTTCTACTCAGGTATATCACACACTGAAGATTTCATTTTTTTTCACCAGTTCTCTCACTTACTAGTGCTTTGTCTCAATGCATCCATGCATGCTACTAGCATTTCCTTTCCTATTTTAGCAAATGATATGTTCCCAAAGCGTACTCCTGGGCTTGTCAAGATGGAGGTTTGTCTCAATCTGAGCAAAACTAATGACGTGGAGCAGTAAGGCAGACAAATCTGTGTGAGAATTACATCAGCTGTACCTATATAGTTACACACACGCCCCAGACTGAATAATACTTCAATAAAACCCTATAACTGTGTCATGGTGAAGATAACCACTGTAGCTTATGTGTGGAGAATTCATGGTGGTTCTTCTGTGGCTATTTTATCACGAGTCAGGTCACTTAAAACACAAGACTGTGTTCAAGATCTAAAACAGTTTCAAATATTGGAAAGAAAATGTGATTTCAAGGAAGACATCTATTGTGGCATGGCCAATAAAAAAGGAGGTCAACTTTACATATGATACATTACCTAAATCAATAAACCAATGGCAATCAGTATGTACACAACTTTAAATAAAAAATTGGTAAATACCCCCTCCCCCCAACTCCCACTTGGCCTATATTAGGATCCAACATGTTCCTAGACGTACCAAATATGAAATAAATATATATACATTATAAATTTAGTTAAAATACAACTTTGAAGAGTTAAATGCAAAACAAAAACCACTGAACGCCCCTCCTACTCAGTATATCATAGCCACTCCTTCTGTGTATTTGTCTGCGGTAAAGTTTCTTGTATTAAAAACTTGTGATATAAAAAATACAGATACACACTAGTTCTTGGTGTTTTTGATGATAATTTAACAGCTAGGACACTCCAGTGAGCGTGGAGAAACAGTCTGGTAAAAACAACATGTTGGGAAATTGAGGAGCAAATTCTCCTACATTGTAGTATAGAAATTAAATTTGTCTACGACACCACACATAGTACAGTGCTGAGTAAGTGCATGAAGAATTAACATATCAGTATAACCTAAGGGCACATTCAGAACAAGTCAATTCCCGGACTAACAGACACAAGAATCAAGTATGGTCGGCCCACTTGAAAGCTTGCTGCATGATCCCCTTAAAGACACTGATTAGATTTCCTGTGGGGATTATGGGTTATGCTCTTCAGGTGGGTCAGCCATACTTGATCTGCAGATCTGTTACTTAGCGGATCAACTTTGGTTGTAAATGTGGCCTTAGAAACTCAGTTCACTGCTGAAATTGCTGCAAATATTTTGAAATTTATCGTGTTGATATGTTGTCCAAAGCTTAGACCACACACACACACACACACACACAGTAGCAAATACAGGAGAAAAAGAGAGACATTGTTTAAAACGCCACATCCCGCCATTCAGTGACCTTATGGCTAGGACACATACATGTATGTTACAGCAATGTACAGGCTTATGATAGATGGCTATAGACTATGCCAATGTGCAAAACCCATCTTTCCATCACTGCAGTACCGATACTGTTGTTCATGACTAATAGCAACAACTTATCTAATCCACTGTAATGAGGTACTGTAACATGTACATGTACATGTAGTTACACTGCATTATGATGAAGCTCAGTGAAATGCTTTTATGTGGTATTTATATCAGGCAATACCTCTTCGGCATGTGTGAAACGTTAAAAACATTCTCCTGACTCATCACTTACCTCAGACGTGATTTTTACACGGTTCAAATAACGTCAGTAAAGGTAAAAATCCGGAAGCACTTAAGAGAAAAACTTTTTCATGGGCGCTGCCATATTGGGTTTCTCTATTTAAAAGAATGGCGCTCCGAGGATCACCTTCAAATGAGAAAGAAAGCAGTATACATATCCTTGTGCAGTGTCGGTACGGCATTTACCCTATGGGGTTATAAGGAACCACTGTATCTAAAAAGAGATATAATATACAGAGAGGCAAAGGAGACATGAAACTTGCATTCAGACAAAAATAGATAGGCTCTATAAATAAATTTTAAGTACATGTACAGGAGATGAAAAAACGTGCAAACGGATGAAATGTTCATCATTAGTAGGCCTAGATCAGGGAAAACAAAAGGATTTTTAAAAAATGAAAAAAAAAAATGAAAGTGGAACAGTACAAAATGACTGATTTAAATGTTTTATGTAGCCTAATATAAACTAAAAGCCGAGTCTTATAAGGATGAAAGATGGTAATTAATGAATTAGGCCTACCATCGAAAAAGTATGGGGGCGTATAGGCCTATCACGGGAGTGAAACGTGTTTGGATACAATACATGTACATGAAAGTATGAGTGCATTTTAAAGTGAAGTTTTAAAAAAAATCAACTAATAATAATAATAATAATAATGATATTTTTTAATGACGAGAATCCCCATTTTATGTAGACCAAGTATTTCGTTGTCTGCGTGGGGCATGCCTTAAATTGATCAAGAATAGGTACGGAATAAATGGAAATAAAAATCGAAAAGTTATACCTACTGTAAGACTAGAAAATCCCATGATAAACTAAAAGGTTTATATGAACTTTTTTCTTAATATTAATTTTTACAGTATGTCCGACGTATGGTAGGCCTACTAGGCCTAATATTGCTCAAATTTCGGAAGACGGAACGTTTTAAATAGCGGCGCGTTTAGTAAAGGCATATTCTGTTTGGAATGTTCGCACCAAATTTATTTTTCATCGAGAAAAAAAGGTAATTTTCACCCATTCTCAAGTTATTGAAGGGACCCTTTTTGCGCTTGGATGAGATGTTATTTCCAACTAAATAACTTAGTTCGTAACGAATCCGATTCGTTTAGACCACCACGTCTTCCTGACATTTCAGTAGGAAACATCGAAATTTGGTGCTTTTAATTTGAGAGGTTTTATAATTTTAAAAGTCTGCATTGGTAGCTCTGCAGGGCATCTAGTTTTAAAAATGATTTGGGGACATTTCTAACGGCGTATAAAGTATCATTTTAATAATGTCTTAGATATTGGCAAATCAATTTTAACTGATATTTAATTAAAATATTAGC